CGGGACCCAGCCTGGCATCACAGGTAACTTGCCTCAACATACAGTCCTACCCTGAGAAGCACCCATCTACAAAAAGTGCTGCTTCATTAAGGGCAAATGGCAGGGAAAATTGTATACTTTTCTATTGTTGTGACTCAACACATATTTTTTGTTGTCTTAACAGGCTGTGGGCCGCTCTGGACTCCCTGGCTCATCAGTTGAACCCCACCTGGACGTACCCCAGCATTTGCAAGTGGCAAAGCACCTAACTCCATCAGGAGCATCTGAGGAACCCAGTGACCTAGAGGAGCTGGAAAAGTTTGCTAAGACTTTCAAACAAAGGCGAATCAAATTGGGGTTCACACAGGTGAGCAGCCTTGTCAGTGGGAAGGGTGGTGTCACTTGCAATGTGGACATGGTGGACTGGGGGAGCGCTTGTGGCAGAGGCACGGATGGAGGAAGGGCTGTATTAGATATAGTTTGGCTTTCTTTGGAGCAGCCCTTTCCAAACACATTAAAAGTTAAAACCTTCCTAATACTTCATTACTATGACCTCTTTATCTGCGACTTCTCCAATATACAAAGGCTCAGGGGTGTGGGACAGATTCCTGTGGGAAGAGAAGTCACTTTCTCTGGAAGGCAGATCATGGAAACAAGGCTGAACCTATCCTGCAAGCAACTTGAGAGGTGGTCTGACAGCAGCAAGCTGTAAGGGGTTTTTCTGAGATCATGTTGTGATTTGGATCTTCTCTGGCAGGGTGACGTTGGACTTGCCATGGGGAAGCTCTATGGCAATGATTTCAGCCAGACCACCATTTCCCGCTTTGAGGCTCTCAACCTGAGCTTTAAGAATATGTGCAAGCTCAAACCCCTGCTGGAGAAGTGGCTGAGTGACGCAGGTAGGTGACATGACATGCAGAAATGCCACCAGTCTTGGCCACAGAGAGGATCCATCCAGGAACCTCCAATAAAAGCCGGGAAAATTAGAGCTGGAGCTAAGATCTCTCAGATCGGTGGCTGGGCTGGTAACAGACTGCTTTCCTCTGTGGATCACACAGCAGGTTGCGTAGCAGCCTAGATATCAAACCACATCTGTCCTTTCTCTCTGGCAACGTGGGTTTCACATCGCAATTTGGGATCTGGGGCAGTTCCTTCCTGCATTGGCTCTGTTGCATGGCCTGGGGCAAATCACATTCAGTCCATTCAGTCCCTCCCTGTCTAAACTGGAAAGAATAGCAAGGGGCTCCCAAAGTGCTCAGAGGTCAGCCCATGAGCAGTAATTGGAAAAGGAACGTATTCAAGGGGAATCCCCAGTAGCAACAGGATTGGGCTGGTGTCCTCTGCTGGCTGCAAAGCACTGTAGGAATGGCATTTGTCTCACGTGCTTCACCCAGCCCTTCAGGAGTTGCATGTTTGACTAATTTATCATGTCAGGAGGTGTCTCAGCTGCATAAGACCTGATCCCAGTGGTGGAAATCAATGTCTTTAACTGTGAAAATAAATCGTTGGAAAATACATGGTCCCCACCAAAGCAGACTAGAAATCAATCTGGGAAAAGGGAAAAAATAGTGTGTTGATTAAAATTTTAGCACTCTTTCTTCCCGATTTGGACAAGATCATTGATGCATTTGGGACTGTTGGAACAATTTTAATAATCATTGGAGGAAGGACCCGCACTGCAGGAACATTTTACGTATTTTAGGAGGTGGCATAGATTCCAGAAAGGATCTAGGAACAAAACCAACTCATCTCCTTGAACATCTCTTTTACCCTCCCTCTTTCCCATCTGCTCCTTTGGATTCTTCCATGAGCACTCCCAATTCCTACCCCTCGGTGAATGAAATGTTCGGACGGAAAAGAAAGAAGCGAACCAGCATTGAGACCAACATTCGCTCCACGCTGGAGAAAAGATTTCAAGATGTGAGGGCAAAATCTTTCAATGTCTTGTAAACTCCTTCTGTTTGGTTTTTGCTAGGTCATAGTAGCACCGAATCCTCAAAAGAAAGATCTCTGTTTGTTTGTTTGTTTTGGTAGCAGGTTAGAAAATGCTTTGAAGGGGATAACAGGAAAAGTGTCAAAAACAAAGAAACCAGACACAATTATTTCCTTGGTAAATGTTTTAAAGGAATCACAATTTCCTCACCACATCTCCCCATTATCATCCACTGATCAGTACATTAGTCAAAGCTGATCTGCACCCATGTCTTGTCTTTGCGGGTTGCAGGCATGTGTCACGGGAACTGTGTGGCCACAGTGCAGCACGGAAATGGATTCCTTGTTAAGCAGGTCTTGTGAGACCACAGAACTAGTTGCTGCAGATGTTGCTGCTGAATTATTTCAGAAGTGGAGCCTTTTACTTTTTAAGCATGAAGAGTTACAAGACAAATCACTACAGAGAGCAAATAGACCTTTAAATCAGTAGGACTATATTGTGCATTGAAAATTTTTCATCAAAACTGTTTTTGACCAGCCCTCATTTTTCTTGGTTTCTCCCTCGTATCTGATCATATCAAAATTTCCTCCTAAGACTGTTAATAAGAACAAAAGACCATCATTGTCAGATCATTATGGGCACCTCATTTTTAGCTAGTACGAGGCATTCTTTGTAACGGGAAAACTGTCTTGGCATCTGTGCTAGGTATTTTTGACCCTCAAGCCTCCAGCTCAGATCAAAAACCATAGAGCCAAATGCTGTCAATGCACCAGAAAATAAGTGACTTGGAAGAAAGGATAGGCATTATTGTTTTCCTTTATAAACGAGGGATGGAGAAAGAAATAGAAGTGGCTTCTCTGAGATGCTGCAGGTAGGCATACAAACAGCACTCAGAGCTTGTGTGTCCTGTGTAGTGGTAAGAAGACCACCAGTCACTAGCTTCCCCCCAAGCAATGATTTAGGGTGCTGTTAAGATCAAAGAGTATGGTGCCTTATGCAACAACAGGGCCAGGTACTGTGACTCATCCCCCACTGATTCCATGAATCCTGATGTTGAATCAGAGGCACTTTCTGGTTCACAGAACATAATCTCTTACCTCAGTATTTACCCTTTGTCTTCAAAGCAAATTTTCTCCCCTCCCCAGTGTACAGACAATGCCACCCCTGTCCTCTGCCTTTCCAGCAGCAGAAGCCTACATTGATGCTGCAAGTTACAGCCCTTCGGGGCTTTCTTTAACCTCCTGCCCTTTCTCAGCAGAACCCCAAGCCCAGTTCAGAGGAGATATCCTTGATAGCAGAGCAGCTTTCCATGGAAAAGGAGGTGGTTCGGGTCTGGTTCTGCAACCGGCGCCAGAAGGAAAAACGGATCAGCTGCCCAATGCCATCCCCCATCAAATCACCTATCTACAATTCCAGACTGGTGAGAGACTTTGGATTAAGGAGTTCTACATGCCGTCTCAGACAGGAAGCGAAAAGGGTGGGGGAATGCAGCCGCGTTTGCTGGAAAAGGAAACAGGACAGGACATTTCCTTGTACACACAAATCCCTGAGTTGCTGGCAAGCCCACTCCACAGTCCAGTAGGGTGCTACACCTGCGGGAGTGTGCAGAGGCAGTAGGGCTAGCCATGGAGTGTGCATGTACTCAACATCCCAACTTCAATGGAATCTCATGCCTGCGCTTACAGAACATTTATTTTCATTCCACTAATGAAAGCATTAGAAAGAAAACACAAGTTTCCTAGAAGGTACAGGTCAGTTTAATTGCAGGATAATTTATTCAAACCGGGGTGCTATCGCAAAACTTTTCACCCTTAGATGGGTAAATAAAAGTTTTCCAGAGCTAATGGAGGAGGAATCAGCATTTCCTGGAATGAGAATTACATCCACTCATGTCAGTTGTTAACTCTGAAATCTAATGGTAACCATTTACATATCAGCTTACTGTTTCACATCTGTGCAGAAATGCAGAACACACCTCAGTAGTGCTAATTGTCCTTCTCTCATGTCATATATTCACATTTTGGCAAGTGTATTTTTATTGCCCGGAAGGATAGGGAAACTGTTTTAAGAGTAGGTGAAGGCATGTCCTTGTAATCTACTGTCAGTGGCAACTGTGAGTAACAAGCCACTATTGCATTTCTGCTAGTTAATAGTTGCTTAGTTGCTTCCACATATAGAAGTGGCAGGGACCTCCCTACAGAGTTGTTAGTGCTGCCGCACATGTGAGTGGGAGGAAGAGTACATATTCACAAGCACTATTTTATCTTAAAATCTTCCGGGTTTTGGAATTACCCATCAGAAGGCAGGAAAACATCACAAGAAATTTGGTCACTTGTTGCACAACAGATTTTGTCTACAGTCACAGACACAAAATACTTCTTGCAAGCCATGAATTTTTAAAGCAGTAGCTTCAGTGAATAATTGTCCTGTGAATGCGTTGTAGAAGGTATGCCTTTGCTCATCTGAACAACGTGTTGCCTGTAGTTAAAGTATCACAGTTGAACGACAAATGCCTCAGGCTCACTTTGATTGCAGTCACCAAATTAGTAATTGTCACCTGAGAATTCTCAGCCATCAAGAACTCCCCTAAAGGAAAAAAGGATTATTTGTGCCCAAGACCAGAGTGAGATGGGAAGTTTCAGACTGAGAACATCCAGTCTGAAACATCCAAAGGGCAGCGGCTCCTACGAAATGGATCTTGGGACTTCCCGAAAGTTTGGCCTGCATTTGGTAATTTCAGGCTTTTCCATAGCTGATCGATAAATTTAGACCTATGTAGAGAGTATCAGGCACATGTAATACTCATTCTGGTTTCTTTCCATGGCCCTGGATATGGGAATGGCGCTTCTACACTAGAGTATGAACAGAAATATCTGTGGGAGCCTCAGGTGTGGATAAGAAGTCTGCTTGGGAGCCAGCAGACTAAAGGGAGTGTGAAAGTGGTGGCATTTTGTGATCTATACCTTCATAGTGCTAAGTGCTTACTGTTTGCTTCTGTTTCTCTCTAGGTCTCTACCTCAGGGTCCTTGGGGCCCCTCTCTGTCAATCCGGTGCATAGCACCATGCCTGGGACTGGTAAGCCTTGGGAAACCTGCCTCACTCACGATTCCTTCCCTCCTTCCTCTGCTTTTGCTCTCTGACTACTTGGTTTCTAGGTCACATTTGCAGGCCTGTCTTAATAAGACCCTTGGGTTTGGCCAGGGAAAGCATCCCTGTACAACTAGTGTACAAGGGATAAGAACAGCTGAGTCTTTCTCTTGGCTGGAACAAAGACATGGAAAGCCTCCTGGGCCCGGTAACATTCCCAGGATAACCCTAGGCAAATTTTACTGGGGTTTTTAGGTCCGGGAGCCAGGCACACCTAGAAGTCAAACAAGAGGAGTGCTTGGGGGTAGATTACTGCATTTCTTCAGCAGAATGTTTTCAGATCTCCTTCAAGAAGTGCGATTCAGAGTAACAGAAGCCAAGTGCTACAGAGAGAGCAGTGCCGGAGACCCTGCCTTCTCTGGGGCTGGGGCACAGGTTCTGCCTTGCTGCTGCAGGGCAGTCAGTGAATCAGGTGAACCACAGGATGGGTACAAGATATGGTGGAAATGTTTGGGCTTGGGCTGTCCTCGGCAGGAAAAGGAGATCCCAGTCTTATTCTGCTTTCTCTGCTACGCAGTAACATCATCGTGTTCCCCAGGGAACTCCAGCAGGCCCTCATCCCCCGGCAGTGCACTCCATGCTAGCAGCCCCAGCACAGCCCAGAGCAACTCCAAAGCTGCAATGAACTCATCCGGTTTCAACTCTTCAGGGTAAGGCAGCAGGGGCTCACAGCTTGCTCCTTGGAAAGGGCATCGGAGGGCTTGGGAGAAAAGCAATAGGACCTTAGAGAAGAAGGTGCAAGCCCTTAGAGACTCCAGCAATGCGGAGCTACCTGGTGGCACGTTCTTACATGAAGCTTCACATCTAACCTGAAGCTTCTTGGGATATGGCTATTTTTCTGCTTGAAGACAAGTAGTAAATCAAGTTTTGCCTGAAAAACTCTGCTGGTTAAAAAAAGAAAAAAAAGAAAAAAAGAAAAAAAAACAAACAACCACAAAACACCCCAAACCAACCAAAAACATGAATAGAAACACCAGCCATAAGTACTGTCCTAAACTAACTCCTTGCGTGGAGGAAGCAGAGGAAGGCTTATTTTGCTGTTTCTGCTTGGATAACCCCTCCCACAGCCAATTTTCTCTCCTGCAGTGCCACCCAGAGAGCTCTGCTGCACAGTAACTATTCCACTGTGGCAAAGGAAATGAGAATAAAGATTTTCCTCTGCCCTGCCTTTAGATGCTACAAAAGCATTAAGCCACAGGTATGGGCCCAGAGCCCTTCTGGTTATTTCACTGACTATGCCTCTGCCACACTCGGTGCTGCTCTCTCTGCACTTGTAGTTCCTGCTACATCGCATCAAAGATGCTGTGTTAGTAGGAAGGCAACAGAAAGCAGAGGGCGTTACCCATAGCTGCTGGGCTTTCTGAGTCATGGATCATCCGGTGTCATGAATCAGACCTCTTCTTACGTGGAGGAAGTCTAACAGTCAGGTAGTATGCTGAATCACGAGCATAATGGAAGATGTTGCTTAGAAAGACAGGGGGTTTGCTATGAGCTTACTATAAGAGCAAAGGATCATTTGTGGGCTGCCAAGTCGAAGTAAGGTTACAAACAGAATAATAATGATTTTTATTAAAAGGGGAAACTGTTAACAACATGGCAATTGTAGCTCTTATTCCCTGTGTTGCAAACAGATCTTGGTACCGATGGAATCAACCTACCTACCTCCACTGAGATGACTCCTCCATCACATCTAAAAGAAGCTCTGACTTCTAGCTATGGACCAGCTTCTCTAGGAACAATGCTTGGGGCAACATCTGGTGTTCCAGTGCCTTCAAAATGCTGCCAAATGAAGGTCTTGTTTAAGGGAACCCATAGCAGCAGAACTCTCCAGGGACTCAAACTGCAGCTGACCTTCCCCAAGGATTCTCAATGCCAACAGTGACATCATAATACTCTTCCAGGCATTCACTTCAAGAATGGGCCCTTGCTTAGCACTATTAGCATGAAACACTGCCCTCTGCTTGCAAATCTCTGAATTCACACTGGATTGCCTGGCAATCGCTAATCTGGAAGGATTTCTATGTCAGGACCCTCTTTTCCCCTCACTCATTTCAGAGCTTCCCATAAGAAGGGTCTATCATGCTGTTACTATCACGCACACATACCAAAAACCCCCAAACTGAGCCGAGGTTACCCAGTTCATTTCACCAGAGACCTGTGTCTAGATGTGAGCCTTGGTTTTTCAATAGACTGCCAAGGTCAATGGCACTGTGCTTTATCCACTGTCAAACTTGCTTTGCTTTGAGCCATTCTGCTCTGTTTCTAAAGGTGCTTTTTTTCTTTCTTTCTTTTTTTTTTTTTTTCCTTTTAATTAAGTATTTTAGAGCCTTCATATTTTTTCCTTTTTAAAAAATTGTTGTCTTTTGCAAAATTTGTGTCCAGGTCTTGTTATTGTCACAGCTGGCCTCACTGCCCCACTGGAGGACGTCACTGTTTGAAAACCTTGGGTGAACTTCTGACTCCGTCGAACACAAAAGCAGCTTGTGTTGATTTGATGGGACAAGGATTAGTCTTGACTTTCCCTTCCTTCTTTTATTCATCCTTTGGGTTTTATCTGATACCAAACGAAACCAACCTCTCTGGAGTAGAGGTGTGCATGTGTTCTGGTCTTTCCTGAATTGTAAGTAATGTAGCCTGCCTGTTCTCTGCAGCATGCTCTTCTGTTCCTGGGAGGACAAGTTGTATTGCTCAGGTGTGAATCTTGAGGTTTGTGTGTGCAGATGTTTCTTAATTTCATGAGATGCCAAAGTGTACGAAACTTCACTTTTCATAGCATATCACCAGGGAAATTGTTACTTTGCAACTCTCCACTTGAAAAGAGGTAGATATTTAATTTTGTTAAAGTAGACTTGAGTAATACAAATTCCTGGTCAGGTTGTCTATGGGTACAAGTAATTAATTCAGTGGAACTAGAGAAAATGAGTATCTGGTTCACAGATTGTAAATAGACGTTTTTGAATAGTAGTCCTTTTTTCTGATGGCTTTTTTTTTTTTTTTTTTTAGGTAATTGTGTGTTGTTTTTTTTTTTTTTTTTTTTTTTTTTTTTTTTTTTAAAGTAAAAATTATCCTTCATCACTTCGGGGGGGAAAAAAATATTGGATCCATTGTTTCTTATCATACTCATCCAGTCCTGTGTGATGAATTATTGCTATAGGGAGTCTGTGGACCTTAAGAGTTTATCAGCTACCTTCACACAAAGTATCGAGCCCTACATGCACATTGTATATAGAACTGCATTTGTTGCTTTGAGTGAGGTTTTGTTATAGAAGCAGACACTGATAATAATGAGAGAGGACTGGAAAAGATAAGTTAACATTTCTTGAAAAGTGGAAATCAAGAAAAATATTTCTTTTTTTAAAATACTAAAATAAATTTTTTTTCAAAATGTTCTAACACAAAAAAGGGAGAAACTGTATTTCTGTTTCCTGGATTTCCTGAATTAAACATGACAGCTTTTTCTATGGTGTGCCTTAATCACAGGATTTTTGATGAAAAACCAAATTCTCCTCCAGCCAAGAGAAGGGTACTACAACAGTATTTTGAAACAACTATGCTATGCCAATTGCATTTAAACTCAGCTGGTTGTTCCCTGGGTCAGCTGCAGGGACGGATCACGCCAACGTGCCCTCCCTGTGCAAACTGACCCCTGCCATTTGCCTCCATGCATTTGCTCATAACGGTGGGCTATCAAAATGAGCTACGGCAAGCTCTGGAGACAGAGAGCAATACCTGCTTGGCTCCCCTCCAGCACTGGCTCTGTCCTGCTGGAAAAGCCTGCACGATTGCTGCCAAACACTAACAGTGGAGATGTCTAGAAAGGAATGCACTCACATATACCCAACCTGGGACTGGTACAGTCTTTATTCACACACAAGATCTTTGTTAATGGATAGAGGATTGTGGTTGATACTATATTTAAGTCTTTTGCCTGATTAATTTCCACTAATTTCATGTAAGCAGATGAGTTAAATAGGCTGGGAGGCTGGTGGGGTGAGACTAAGGGATCTGTACTAAAATGGTGGATGGTAGTGGAAAGAGGAATGAACAAATCAGCAGAAATTTGTTTTGCTTTTTAACTAAAACATGCCAGTGTTTTGTCGGTTTTGTTGGAAAGAAACCTTTCCAGAATCCTGTTTCTCCCTTATCTGGTCCAAAAGATTAGGGAAAAAAGTATACGTTTACATGGAAATTCCAAGTCTGTCATAGTTTTAAAAAAATCAGTTCCAAAACCAAATCATTGACCTGTACTCATGTGCAGATAAATTGTGTGGGAGAAGAATTTTCCTCTCCTGTCCCTGGCTGGGATTGCATGCTAAGATGAGCCAGTGCACATTGACGACTCAATCATACCTGCCATGGCTGAACCCTGCCAGGTGCATTGCTGTGGGCTTGAGCCCTTGGAGAAGAGATGCTGCAAGTCCTAAGGGAGAGGTGTAGGTGGTACCTGGCAAATTCATAACCTCTCCCTCAGGGAGCTGCCTCTACTCTCGGGCTTTTCGCTGAAACACCTCGCTCCAGCTCCTGTGAGGGCTGGCCAACGCTGTGGGAGGAGGATGGAGGATGAGACAAACAATCTGTTTTCATGCCTGAGAAGTGATTTGCATGTGACTGTTCACTGGGTGTGCTGCAACCCTGTGAATAAAGTCAGCAGGATCTGGATTTTGACCAAACAGCAGCCCTGGCCACGGATGAAAAAGAGGGGTGGCTGCCTGTCGCTCTGTAATTACGAAGACCCCTTAAGAAGCTTCTGGCTTTTTGAGCAATAATTTTACAATCCTTGTTCAAAGCCAGTTCTGTATGAAAAAGATGTTCAGGTGGCATGAAGGGATTTTGCTCCAGCCTCTCCCTCCTGAGATATAGACCTTAAAATTAATACTCTACATAATGGAAGTAAGTGCATCACAGGATGGCACACTGCTAAGGCAATGACCCTCCCTCTCTCTCTCTCAGTTTTTTTTCTTCTTCCTATTTTTTTTTTTTTTTTAAATTTTGGCCATTATGAATACTTAAAGGTTAGCAGATAGGAAGAACAAATTTAAACCACTGATCTGCACCTTTGGGACACCCTATCTTATTTTACTTCCTGCACAACCTTTGACAAGTGACTTAATCCCCATTAGGTGATGGTGATGATAATCCTTCCCTTCTTCCAATCCTCAACTTGTGCTAAATAGCATAGTTCACCAACAATGAACTTTACAGCTGATTCTGCTGCCAGCCATCACAGAAGACTTTTATTACACTGACCCCCAGCAAAGCTGTAGCTTCCAGCTCGTTTCTACTGTGAAAAATCTCGTTATTTCGTAGATTGTAAGTAAGTACTTAAAAGCTCAGAAGTAACTATTCTGATTGCCTTTGTAAACCTAGCCTGCAAATTTTACCCAGTAATTCCTGCCTTAATCCTATAGCTAGTAGCTGAGCTGTAACTTGGCTATTGATTTTAGAGTCAGTTGCATTTGCTAAAGGCTCCCAGAGGTTTGTGAACCTCCTTGTCAAAAGAGGTAAAAAATAAAGTTGTGAAAGTCAGCTAATTATTTACAAAAATATATTTACAAGTTGCTGTGCATGTATACACTCTTATAGTATAGAGGTACATTAAGATCAAAATGTGGCTCTTAACTGACAAGGACTATTCCATTTAATTTTCAGAAATTCCTCTAAGTAATTTGCTTCCACAAAAGCAGCACTGCATAAATTTTCGAATATTATTTCTGAGAGCTGGGAGGGAAATTACCAACGTATTAAATGCTGAATAACGGATCTGCACATTAGTATTGCAGCTGAGATCAATCCTCAGCTGTGCCAGGTGTTGTGCAAACACATCGTGAGAGTTGACGTCCACTGAAAAGTTTATAAACACAGTAACAAGCCTCTCAAATTTATTGGTCCCGAGTAGGAAAACAAACACTAGCAGCTTGCTTGTTTCACAAGAAGCTACAGTTGGAAGGGAAAGGTCTTCATCCCCCTGTCTTCTAGGAATACTTCCAGTCTCACACGAGTGATGAAAAATATACAGATCAGGAAATTCCAGCTTTCCAAGACTAAGAGTCACCTCCCAAAGTCATAAATAAACAATGCAGGGAGCAATTGCTCACAAGCAGATGTGCCTCACAGTGTCCATAAGGACTCATGTAATCTCCTTGAACAACCTGATCTGCTACCAAAGCAGCCCTTGTGCCTGAACAGTCTCCACACTCTCTGTCCCTATTCTTCTCTTGAGGAGAAGAGCTCTTCTGCCTCTCCACCTGAAGCATCAGTTATGTGCATCCCAGGTGCGAGTGGAGAGCCAGCTGTCAGCTGACTCGCTGTCCAAACACACCTCCGTGGGGCCCATCGCTATCGCTTGTGAGTATAATGGGTGCAACCCCATTCATCTTCTATTTTATCTGCCGTTTGATGATTCACAAGCTCTCTGGAAAAATAAGTCAGCCCCTACGCAGCTCCAAAATCAAATAAAGGACAAGTTATGCCTTTGGAAGTTATGGTCTGTCTGTAGGTACACCTCTCTCTCCAGTATCTGCTGTTCTCAGCCAGAGATAACTGACCTGGCATCCTCAGAATATAAAATGGACAAATGCTCCCGACTTTCCTCTCTGCATGTAGGAGATGCACATCAAGGTCGCCTTTCTGCTTTTCAGCTGTAGCAACTCCAGAGCTCTTAAGCAAGTGTG